TTTTTATATATATATATTTATAGCTGTATTCATTGATATTTCATCTGCCCTGTCCAATTGGTTGCTTTGCAGAGTTCTTAAACAGTAACCACAATGAAACTCCAGATGCTGTTTGAGCCCTACAGTGAGTTGAAATATTTGGAGTAACTCTGACATTGGCTTACATAAGCCAGGAGTCACCCAGAAAGTCGCTGGTGGAATAAAGCTGTTTTCCCCTCCTCCCCCCAGGAAATCAAAGAAAGACATTTTATATTTAAAGGCAAGAAAAATACAGATGACAAGGGGCCTTCTGGATGAGCAGAACAGTGCCTTTTAACCACAGGCAATGTCACACAATTCTGTTCAAGATCCAAAAACACTAGCTAAGATGTCTGTCCCAACTATTCATACCATGACACAGTTTGGTAACTCCAGCTCTCCAAAAGCTATGGTCTCTAGCTGTTGTTGCCAGTTGATCTCCAGGTGCTTTAGTGCTAATACTCCCCTCTTCACACTCCTCAGTGCTGACCCTCTGACACATTTTGTTCTGATAATTGGGTCTTTTTAACTGATAAAATTACAAGCAGGCAAGAGATCATTATGAATAGGTGTACAATGAAACTGCCTGCCACCAGTTCAAAAGGATTTGATTCAAAACTCTTACCCACAGAACCAGCAAGACTTTACTTTAGGATAAAGGTTCTCTCCCCTCAGAGAGACATTTTTGTTTTCATGAACGTGTTAAGTTTTCACAGGGTGCATGATAAGGAAAGTGAAAAGATGAAAAACTGTTGCTAAATAAACCCATTTCTTGTATGAAATAGAGGGGGAGCAGAAATCTTTATTCATTGAGTTTAAATTATCCCTATTTTAGAACAGGCCATATGTCTAATGGTACTCATCAATACAATGAAGTGAAGGGGAGAATGATTTCCAACATACTAGACTAAATTACATATTTGTACACTCCTGGAGCATGTGTAAACTACAAACAGCCTATTTACAGTACAGTTGCCTGCTAACACCCTTGAACACTGGCAAACTATCAATGACTACTCACACAAACCATTCTACTATTTATGCCACCAAGTAGCACAACCTACAAAACAAAACTTTCACTGTAATTTAATCCATCTTTAAATCACATCTTTAAATCTGGACTTTATAAAACATAATACAATAAACTCAAGAAAAGTGCATTTCTATTAATTCTGAAAAGTATTTTCTTCGTACTAAATCATATCCTGGTTTTCTTACCTCAGGTAATGTCAGATCATCTTGTTTAATGTCTGGTCTGGTATGAGTCAGAATAAGAGCCAACACTTCTACTGTTTTTCCAAGACCCATCTCATCTGCCAATATGCCTCCAGGCCACTGGGGTCCAGCAACTGGATATTCTCGGATAATACTAAAATTCAAGCACATTCCCAAATGAAAGTCAATAACAATAGAATAGTGTGACAGAGAAGCATGTGTTGAGGGACTCACACACAGCACAGCTTCAGCAAGGCAAAGTTTGGAAGGTGAGGCATCAACTTTTATTAGTTAAGCTGAGACTGCGGAAAGTTAGCAAGCTTTTTGGGTGAATAAACCTGATCAAGATGAATATGTATGACAGGGGTTTTTTTTTATTTTTTCCCCTCCTAACAGGCCCTACTTTGCTAATTTTGGCATATCATTAGTCTCAAAAAAAATTAAATATATTTATATTCACAAATGTTAACAGTATGAAAGTTACACAGGATGAAAAAACCAAAGCAAACTAGTAGGTTCTGTTCTAACTAAATTAATGAGAAAAGTGAAAAAGAATTAGTAATGCAACAGCCAGAGTTAATAAAAGCATTATACTGCCTCCTTCCTTTAGGCTTTAAAAACATTGGACCAGAAGGTCACAGCCTCCAATGCTCTAATTAAAAAAAAAATTAAACTCACGAATTTGCATTGAAATAAAATAAATGGGGGGGGGG